GAACCTTATACAGCTTATGGCCGCGACTTCGGACGCACTTTAATAAAACTAGTCCATTTTATAATAGCCTATGTGCTATTCAGACGTATATGTATAAGCTATACATATAGCATTACTAAAGTTTCATCGAGATATATCAGGTGTGGTGATTGCAATCAAATACCTATTTTGTGCTGTATAAAAATATGTCTTGAAGTTTTTGCATGAAGAAGTAACTAGTGTCAGTCAATTGAGTCCCTGACAAACTTAAGCTGGTTTGCACCATCTTACCTACTTTGACTTTTACAAACGGCAATAATCTGTCAACTCCATACAAAATAAACCGGTTAACGATAACGTTAAAGACTATGACTATAAAGTCACGGTTAAAAGTAGGTGGTGCAACTCAACCTTAAACGTTTATGACAAAGGTATTTATTTACGAGTTTTTGTTAAGAGTTTGTAGTCTTATAGCCATCAGTTATCTATGGTGCAGGTACAATAAAACGATCTTACATCACTTTACATCTATCTCGAGTCTTACCCTCATCTTCTTATCTCACAACTAGGTCATCTAACCAAACACAATCGCATACAATCCTTACTCATCACTTATCTGCTCCATTTGTCCAAATAAGGCATTTACCCAATCGGAGGCAATTGAGACCGGAAGTATAGCTATCTGATAAGTCCCGTTACCTACACCTGGATGACACACGATATCTTAATCGGTCAGAGTATGTTTTTTTTTATAAATTAACTTAATGGAACTTGGTAGTACACACTTCTTGCGCTGCTTCTTCTTAGCACTGGCCCATTTATTGTCCCGAAGCAGTGGTAGGGTTAATACTGGGACGTGTAAAAGTGCTTTTATAAGCCTATCTGCAAAAATAAATGAGTTTTATGAATTTTTACTGTGAAAAATGATTGAGTACCTATTGGTATTTTAGATACGCAAATCATTCGCTTTGCACTGGAGGGAACTTCGAACTTCTCCTATGTTCTTCTGATTAAATTCGTTGCAGGTCCAATGACAGTTAACTTTCCCCCGGGACAAACTAGACCTTCACTAGTTGGTTTTTTATTGGCGGTCAAGCTGTAGATCCTGGCTACACAGGAATATCAGGGGTGGGAACAATAGATGGGAATAGTCCCTTATACGTATACTAAACTAAAGTGCTTGTTACAAAAGTAAAGCTAAAACCATTTGATTTGACAAAAAGCTCACAAACGAGCTTATAAGCGATAAGACACTAACGACGTTTCGTAACCGATCCTTCCACACACTTTCCAAGAAAGCTATCTTTTCCTTTTAAGATGAATGCGCTCGCGCAGGAAACCTTTATCTGTGATTAATCCGTTGTTTCCTGTTATACGTAATGTATTTGCCGAATAATAGAGTTATTCATCAATTGGGTACTTGACATCTACGTTCCTTTAAAAATTATGTCGAAAGAGAGTTGTCATCGTCATCAAGTATCCCCTCCAGGAGCACGACCCTCTCTAATTTACTAGAGGCAAATGGAGATAGAAACAAAAGACAATAATAAACGACTGCCTCGCCAATGTAACCTAGAATCTACAGAAGTGACAGATGTAAAAAGGGCAATAATTATTGAGTCACCTCAAATATTTGGAAAGTTATGAAACAATATTGAATACCGTGGAATAATTAGAATATTACGATATTACGTAGGATATTTGTTATTTACCAAATTAAGTAGGTGTAAGTCGATCTTGAATTACGTTTGCATAATTAAATCGAACATACCTAACTTTTTTGTGCTGAATTTTTCTGCAATCAGTCACCAGACTTTAAGCAGATGAGTTTCGAGTGTCTTTTTAATCTTCTTCTAGAACAAAGAGAAAAAAAATGCTATCCCTACCACTCGTTCCCACCGCTGCAACTCCTGTGTAGCCAGGATATACAGCTTGATCGCCAATAAAAACCCAACCAGTGAAGGTCAAGTTTGTCTCGGGGGAAAGTTAAACTGTCATTGGACCCGCAACTAATATTCAGAAGAACATAGAAGGACTCCTAATCTTAAAGAGCAGTTGGCCTATGCCATGCTGCCTTCTTAAATCACATGGTTTCATTTTAGCCTTTCACGTATACCTCCTACTTGGCTACAATATTGTCATCTACATATTACGTTTAATAAATCCTATTTAGAACAGTAACTTCGTTTTATCTGACGCCTCAAGATGTATGTGTGCACAAGTGTCCAGCAACAAAAGGATTTGGCTTTCTCTCCGGAGATACTGGCAGGCTGAGCAAACTAACTATACTATATTTAACTAACAAAAATTCTTAATGAGTGTCTAATGAGAGACAACCTGTTCGTTACTTCACAAACAGCTTGAATATTCTGAGAAATCATATGAGTTTCTGTAATAAATACTTATTGATGAAACTAAATTCCGTATTTCGGAGGACACGTCCATCCAAACCGTGTCGGATTTAGCGATATAAGCTATAGAAGTATTATTTATAGTGACAAATATTAAATACACAAAAGTTACTATTGGAAAAGAAAACAGAAGTTTGCAGATGTAATTCTTATCGTACAAGTACAAAAAACTTTTAAGACAGACAAGGTGTTAACATAAATCCATAAAACTTGTATGTCATGGAAAAGTATCACAATTATTGTCATTGCCCGCATATTTGCGCCACGAGTCGAAAGCATAAAAGTTTAAGTGCGCTAATAAAAATATAACATACTTATTAGAAGTATTTAAAGAACGCAATGACGTTCCCAAGGTTCTGTAGAATGGTATTTTTGTGAAATGTCGCAAGACCGGATGGCGGGTAGTAAACACAATCAGCTGTTTCTAAAATGGTGTAACGTGATGTGGGGGGTAGTCGTATAAATGCCGGGTGTCGGCGCGTGCGCGTGTCGCGGTCATATTCCGTGATGGCGGTCAAGTTGCGCGAGAGATGAGCTCTAAGATCGATCGGACTGTTTGGTATCAAATGCACATCCTGTCTTTGAATCAGTAGCAATGGGAGCTGATGATTTTTCGGAATGAATGACTGAAGAATCGAGATTGTCAATAAGAGCAGTTACATTATGAAAATATGTCAATTAAGTATGAATACAGAATTGGTTCAACCAAATGTTATTAAATTATTCACAGATTTGAATGTATAAACTGGAATTCTGGAATTTAAATCAAGTTTTGAGTTTCGTTTCATTATTATAGATAGGTCATAATAGGTATTGGCTTCATTACACTTATTATGTGTCGTTAACTAACTGCCTATACAGGTTGTAGCTTTTACCAAGCTGTCCTTTATTACTACTGTACAGCTATCAGAAGCTTTATTTGGCGTATAAATAAATTTTTGATTGAAAAGGGCCTCAAGTCGGATAATTGAAAAATTATTCTAAAACGAGTTTTTTGTTGTTGTTTGACGGTCTTATCAGTTCAGGAGAGTGCGTCAAATTTTTCCTGGTTCGATTCCAAGTCGAGTTAGTTATAGAAACTATTTCTTTTCACGTCTCAGTACACCTGAATCACTTGGTCTGGTTTTGATTTCAATTTCAACACGCATTTCTGTAGCTAAATAATAAAATGGTCCTGATTTCTTGTTGACGCTTGCGTGACGCGTATAGACGCTCAAATTTATTAATGATTGCCTCACTCTTCTGTTACACTATGTAGTATTGCGTTAGGTGTTATATGCGCAACTTTACAAAGAGATATCGTACGCGATAGGTGTAATAGATAAATAACGTGTGTATTGATAATTATGTATTTCATTTATTATCTAAGGTGTTTTTTTCGCTAAATCGATCAGTCACATTTAATTGTTTTTAGCTCAGACCGCCTGCGTGCTGAAGAATGTTTGATTTATATCTGCCGTTGTGTTTTGTCATAGATTTGAAGAGTTATATCGGTTATCTGGTAATATATTTTCGGTAACAAAGACTATGACTAGCTATTACGGATTCAAAATCAAAAAAAATCAAAATCAAAAATATTTATTCAGTTTAGACCACAAGTGGCACTTATGAACGTCAATAGAAAATAATAAAAAAAGAAAAAGGTAGCCCTTATGGGGCACTTTACATGTCTCCTTATCTTTTGGGCCCTACCAGCGCTTCGAGACAAACATATTATGGCAAGTGCTGAGAAGAAACGCCGGAACAAACTCAGTCACCACTTATTGCCAGGAATTATCTAACGGTAAGAATAGTCAAATTTAAGTACATCAAATATGTGCAGACTGAACTGACCACGCATCCTTGTCATCAATATAGTCTCGAACCTTGTTTATATAACAAAAACACATTATTACAAAAACAACGATTATAACAAAAACAGCTGTCACCTCTTTTGTATAGCTGTTAGAGAATTAGAATCTCTTAGAGCGGGATTCGATTACTAGGTGAGACAAAGGACATTTCCTTGTCCTTTATAGGCTTTAATTACTCGGATTATACGAAAAGAAAGGGATGACGATAAGCCGTCTTGCTATTTGTATTGATCTAGATGTTTTCTATGTCCCTAAAGGTATATGAGTATGTTTATCCGTTGTCTCACGTCCATAACACGTATTTGTATTGATCTAGGTGTTTTGTATCACTAAAAGAATTTAAGTACAAATAGGTATATCCGCTGTCTGGTGCCCATAGCACGTGTATTGCTTAGTCCGATACTAAATGGCGCTGTCCTAAATTATCTAAAACTCATTTATCTTACAAAAATAAATAAAGGCTTTTAAAAAGCACTTTTACACGTCCCAGTATTAATCGTACGATGCTTTGGGACATTAAATGGGTTAGTGCTGAAAAGAAGTAAATAGCAAACTTAAAAGGGTATAAATAGGTATATGTCTTTTAACTAAGTAACGTCGACGGGTTTATCTAATCTCTTAGTAGCTCAGAGCAGTCGTCCAACAAGGGAAAGGTCGTGGGTTAAATTCCTACCTCAGGCAATTAGATTTTCTCAAGTTATTTTTTATATGAGATGAAACTCTTTACGCTAAACCAATTATAACTATGTAAACTCACGTTGAGAGGAAGGCGGCTCGGCCGCGGGGGGCGCGGGGGCGCTGGCAGCACCCTGCATGGCCCGCAAGCGCGACGGACGACCGCGCCGGCGCCTGCGCAAGTAAACACCAATGTGATTATTTTAACGCAATTGACCTACGGGCCCCTATGACCTTTGGACAATGTTGAAGGGTTAAGGGGAATTCTCTGACTCCATGAGTCAAAGGCATGGTGGCTAACTGAAAAAGATAATGTCCTTTAACCCTTCCACATAAGGTCTGAGTTGCATCACCTTAATTTTAACCGGTGTTTTTCTATGAAGTTGACAGACCTTTGATATTTGTTATAGTTAAAGTAAGATTATGACCCTCTAGGTCTTCTATCGTTTGGTTTAAGTAAATACTTCTAAAAGGCTGTAGAAAGAATGTGGTTGAAAATTGTCAATACCACCCCCTTTACGTAGCTTCTAATCCTACATCAGAATGTCACACAAGCTACAAGATGCACGGATTTGGTTTTGTGCTAGTTTTTAGTTTTATCAGTACACTAATAGACTTTATTCTTAGATAAGTGTCATAATAAAGTTTGACCCAATCTCAATTGTTATTGAGCTGTGTGAGGTGTATTTAAGAAGGAAGATGACTAATATGTTTACGCGAAATAAATCATTAAAACCTTAATCATTCACAAAATAACAACAATCATTAGTTTTGAAGATTCATTGATAAATAAATAGCTACAATAAATTAGGAAATACGGTGGAAATTTTAATTGCTTACTTAAACAAATCAAGCAACTAAATAAGTAACTACTCTAGTATCGTGTGTATTCGTAGTATATAATAGATTTTAAAAGGTAGGGTAAGATTTTCGACTACACAATTACGCCCGTATTCACAAACATTACTATGAGGTCGCACAGGGTTACACACACGAACCAATCAGATAAATATATTCAATGCTGTGCGTTCGATTTGCTGCTTCACTTAAGCAAGCATCGTTTGTGAATACGGGCGTTAGAAAAGATACAATCTTTATACAAGACAAAGAAGTGGTTTGAGTCACAGCTATCTTTTGTTATCAGAACGCTAACAACTGCGACGTCCCTTTGTAATCGATCGCTTTAAAACGTATTATCTTTTTGCTATCTCTATTAAGTATGTGCACCAAACAAAAAAGAAGACGCAATTAAAAATCTTTTGAAGAAAATAGAGAAAAAAAAAAAGAAAATAAAGAAGCTTTTGAAAAAGCTCGCAAATCAATTTGTAATCCCAACATGTAATCAAAAAGAAAAGCGTGGGACGTCCACCCACAAGGTGGACCGACGACCTTTATAAAGGTAGCAGGAAGGCGCTGGATGCAGGCCGCTACCAACCGTGCGATGTGGAAGTCATTGGGGGAGGCCTATGTTCAGCAGTGGACGTCCTGTGGCTGAAATGATGATGATGATGATGAATCGAAAAGACCTACCTAGTACTTATTTGTACTCGTATACCACGTATGTTATCCATGTAGTGTACTTAAATAATGTCTTAGGCCATTTTCACCACACATGTTCGGCTTTCTAATTTATTTGCGAGCTTTTTCCAAGAGCTTCTTTTTCAGCAGTTTCACGTGCTTGATTTTTAATTACGACTTCATTCAGTGCTTCACTGTATTCATGAATCATACTAATATCACAAGAAACCTTTTTTGCTGCTTTTACGAGAAATTGTTTTGTAAAACTGAAATTACTAATAGTGTCAGTACTAGGATGTAGTTTCTTTGTTCATGATAGGCATTTACTTAATGGATCAATTCGGAAAAATAAGTTTGTTAGTATTAATATATTTAAGTTATTAGCGACGATAATAAGCATTAAAATGAGGCTTTTCTGGATTATGGAGTCATTTGGATTGAGATTTCCATGACGTCACTGCAGATAAATGTCTGTGTCTTTATCAGTGATTAATTGAAATTCTTGTGATGATAATGATGAAGGTATTGACAAATTACGATAATGACGGGAATGACAAAATATTTAGCAAGAAATCATTAGGTAGAATTATATCCCGTATGATAAATGATTCCATGGTCACCCTACTGTGCTGCTGAAAGAAATGGTATGAAATAAAAGCTTTAAAGAGATTCAGGCTCTTATCTATGTAACTCATAAATGAAAAGCATCTGCAATAACTTTTACTGTCCCATTTTTGTCATAACAGTTAAGTTCAGTTATTAATTATTAATAATGTATTATTCCTTCGGCAAATGCTAAGTTTAGCTAGCGGAGGAAATGCAGTGCCTCTTTTGTAATAATTAGGGTTTATTTACATAATTTTACATTGCTCTACCCGTGACGTCGATTGTGAGTAAGTTTTCTAATATTATCCAATTTTATGCGCAGTTTTCCTAATTTTTCTTTATTTAATACCTTCTTCTTCTTATAAACTTGAAAAAGGTCTCAAGTTGAACCTTGACGAAGGAAAATCGGGATTCGTTTTTATATACAGATTAGTCTCAAATAAAAGGCATTGTGGCCGCCCTAATACCTTATGGCGCGTGCGCACCGTCCCATTATAGCTCAGACAATGCGTGCTAATAACCTGTGCGGCTGGTATGCGATGTACATAACTACAGACTTATGTATATTGTATATATGAGGACTGATCGCGTATATCTTGAGCGAGTTCAGGTGCCAGCGTTACCTAAGTATTCGCGATCACAGATTATGAAGCGAGTGTGTTGCCAATTTGGAAAACAATACCCATTTATTGGTTAAAATTAAAACGGTGTAATCTCATGTCTCGTTTAGTTATAGCTTTTTGATGAAATATGAAAGAAAAGAGACAAAAGTAAACGCTGTTAATGAAACTATTTATAGGATTGTTCGACTGTACGAATAATGGTTTAAAAAAGGGTGGTAATTATCCTATAATCGACTCTAATTCCTACATTAATGAGGTTACGTTTTCCGTCTTCGGCGTTAAAACAATACTTTCAATGCTTCATGATATAAGTAGTATAAAATTGTCATAGCAAATTTTGCGAATATACAGAAAATGATGCCAAGTCGGCCCGTTTGAACCAGGATTACACGATACTTGGAAAGTTGTGAGAACCGTAATATAATATTACTTATCTCAGACTTTACCGATAAGCGGCGCCCTTTGTTCTACTGAGAAGCCAGTGTCCACCGCTGTTTAATGCGAATTGATTAGATGATACTAAATTGTTTTAAAATAGACCCGATTCTGGGTAAAGTTTTTTGTAGTTTGTATGTCGAAGGCATACCTACAGTTTAATTTCAAAATTAAACCTATACGATGAAATAGTTAAAATGCGAGCCTATAGGTGCAGCTACAATTTGGATTTATGATAAAATTGGAAATAAAACACGATTGAAACCTTTTTCCTCTTTTGCTGCAACCTGTGCTTTTTGCAATATTCTACTAAGATAATTGTTATATTCAAAACTAGCGGCCGCCCGCGACTTCGTACGCGTGGATCCCGTTTTACCCCCTTCATCTATCTTACGCGGTTTAGATTTTTTCATACAAATGTTTTTTCCGCTAACTCCCGTTCCCGTGGGAATTTTGCAATATCCTGTAGTAACTAAGCTTCAAGTTTACTAAGGTAGCTGCATGCCAAATTTCAAGCGTCTAACTTAAGCGGTTTAGATTTTTCATACAAATGTTTTTTCCCGATAACTCCCGTTCCCGTGGGAATTTTGCAATATCCTGTTGTAACTAAGCTTTAAGTTTACTAAGGTACCTGCATGCCGAATTTCAAGCATCTAACTTAAGTGGTTCAGATTTTTCATACAAAACAATTTTCCCGCTAATTCCCATTCCCGTGGGAATTCCTAAGTATCCTATAACCTGCCCAGGAGTATAAAGAATAATTGTACCAAGTGTCGTTAAAATCCGTCGAGTACTTTTTGTTTCTATAAGGAACATACAGACAGACAGACAGACAGACAGACAGACAGACAGACAGACAAAAATTTTACTAATTGCATTTTTGGCATCAGTATCGATCACTAATCACCCCCTGATAGTTATTTTGAAAATATATTTAATGTACAGAATTGACCTCTCTACAGATTTATTATAAGTATAGATAATTTTCATTGCTTTTACATTTATAAAGTCTATTTGTCAAAACAAGTTGTGATTTTTCATTGATTGTACCTACTTACTAATAAAATTGGCACTTTTTCAGAGGAATTGTAGAGTCTTTTGACCAATTGAAATGTTTTAAGGGCCACAAATATTCATGTAAGATAGAGCTCGATTTCGTATTCATATAAGACTCCTACAAGAATCATGTTTATTCCCAAGGCCTATTCAAATAGGACATTTTCTTTTTAAACCCTGGACTGTATTTTCAATAACATTCCGCCATAAAACAGTAATATAAAAATACTCGTGCCAACTCTGGTAGAGGCACAGTTATCAGCAAATCCGTGACAAAGTTGCCATAATATCTCAGCGTGAAGAGGCTGTTTAACGCAATCCCTATTACTCTAATGTCGTGATAAACACTTGTCACCAGATACGACCATCTTTATCTGTTACCACGAAATCGTAATTAGATAATGTTATTTTATATTTTACAATCGGGTGTCGCAATCGTTGAGAAAGCTCGCTTCATTTGTTACCAATTTAACTAATTACGTGTATTTTGCATAGTTGCGACATAGTGAATAATTTTATGACCATTAATATTTGAAGACGTAAACGTATCAATTAATTCAAATTATGCATTACGTAGTTGTATGAAACGACTCTACATTATGAATATATTCGATTATTTAATTTAATATGTTTTAGCAACTGTAATATATTAAAATACCGTACAATATATATATAAATAATAATATTTTATAATATAACATATATAATATTATCGTAAGATTTATCTTAGGTAGTAGTCAAGATAGGCATTTCCTCTTAAGAGCTTATCACGTTGCAGCACTTGACGCGTATCATTACTAAAGTATAATGTCTCAATTTGATCTCAGATTGAGATTTATCGCAATGTTTAGAATAAGGTGAGGTAATGGTCATGTAGATAGAGTTACAAGTGCTTCTGTTAACGCGTCATCAATATTTCTATTTTATTATCTGTTTTGCACTTTCGTGTGGTTTTTTTTGCTTTCTTGGCGTTTATTGGTTTGTTTTCTTTATATTCATACAAAATATTTGTATTTGTTGTTTAGTTGTAGTTTATTAGTGCTTAATATGATAAATAAAAATTAGTTTTCGGTGAAATAGAAGATGCAAGCTTTGATGACTCTACATATTTTTTATCGTGAAAGAAATTATGACTCTACTCAGTTAATTTATCTATCTATAATATGTTTTCAAATCCTGAAAGTATTGATAAAAATTAGTCATTATCTTTGATAACAGTATCTTTTCTTTGTAAAATATTGTAGTGTTTGTATTCTTTTATTATATTTTTTACGGAAGACACATTTGGTGGGTTAGGTAAAGTTTCTAAAATAATAATTTATAGGTACCCTGAAGTTTAATTATCAAATAAATAATATTATCAAGAATAATATATGAAATATTATCAAGGATAATAATATACAAATATTTGTAATACACGTAAATATATATTTTCTGAAAGTAACGGAATTACGCGATACCAAGATTTTGCGTTTGTTGTGTTTGCGGTTTCCTGATAAAAATAACCACATGGTTATACAAAATAGGTATTTAGCTTAGATGTGGCATATCACCGGAAATTAAATGTTCTCTAATTAACGGCTAGGAAAGAAATACAGAAAATATATACGAAAAAATATTAGGTGCGTGCCATAAATGTTAATATTCTGTTGGTTAAATGATAAAAATATATTATTTTGAAATGAGATTTCCGATATTATAAAATTAAAATCATGTGCCATCTTCTTATTAGAATATTTTTGGATCATGGGAAGTTACGAGCTTACAGCAATAAGAAGAATACGTTTCGGTAAATTAGGAATCAAGATTTTGGGATTTTTTCCAGAATAAATAAAATTACATTTTAGTAACTCGTAAAATAAAAAAGCCAAAATAAAATATGTTATTTGCGCACAAGCACTTGAAAGTTTTGTATAGTTGTTACGGTCAAAGTGATAAATGTGAAAATTATGAATAATCGCCGGTTATTATGAATAATTACCGCATGATTTGGTAAATGTGATTAATATGAGGTAATTTATGTGTGTATAAAACTAAATAGGCGGCTTAGGGGTGGCCCAAGGGCCACCCCCGCCGCACCTTAACCTATTTTTCACTTTAAATCAAAACATTATGTTATAGGCATCATGGAAAAGTAATATTATGCAAGAAACATTCCAAACTCATTATGCCAAATTATATTAATATATCATATCAAAACGTTCAAAAGTTTGGCTGTACACGAACACGTACACAAGATGTTGTTCTCTTTTATGAAATTTGTTAGTACTAAGGTTGAATTATTAAATTATCACTGTTAAACGTTATTAATTTATCACTTTTACCGCGACTGTTGGGAATTATTCATAATAACCGGTTATTATTAATAATTTTCAATTTATCACATTAACCGTAACATAGTTATTCTTTCTCTAAACTTTTTTACCAAAACAAATTTCACACAGCGACGGCTTATATTTTTTCGCGCACTATTTTCTGTGCGGAAAAAAATATTAAGACTTTTCGCACCACCACAAACTTATTTCATATTTTTTTGTTGCTAGTTTCCATCAGTTTTTTTTTTCTGTAAGAAAAACACCGCACTATTACGCACCATGGGCCCTTAGGGTCAACAGACGACAAATCATTTGACAATCGCGTATCGCACTGAACCAACTGGGTATACACCACCGGCACCTAAAAACACCGGCCGCTGGCTTCCGTCACAAAACGATAATTTGCATCGTAATCTAATCGAAATAGCACTTACCCAATCGTGAATATTTTTCGCGGTATCTGACACACCAAACTGTTCCTGCACACTCCCAATCTCACAAAAGTCACTTGGGAAAAAAATAAAAATTGAGCACAGTTCAAAACAGTCTTCCACTAAAATTGTTAAGGCACTTAGTATTTTTCGTTCCGATCTCGCGAGAGCGACAACCTCGCGCGGCGAGATGTCGTCTCCTTGTGATAGGACTGTGATGAGAGACACTGTCGCTTTGCTCTCGGGGGAGCAAAAGATGGCCGCCGATTGGTCGAGAGCGGCGGCCGGGCGCCCGGGGAGAAGGAGAGGGCGCATCTTGCGCGGGAAGCGAACGAGCGAGACGGCTAGTGTGGGCCGTTGCGTCGCGCGCGGCAGATTGCCCGAGTCAGGTGGATCATTGTGGAGAGCGGAGATGCCCGCGGCTCCAGCTCTGTCCTTTATCGAAGGCTCGAGCGAGCTTTATCTATTAGATTAAAACAATGGCGTCATAATTATATTTTATATACATCTTATTATAATAGATACTGAAACGAAAAATAAGAAAAACTATTTGCAATGAAAATCGCACAATTTTAATTGATTTACTAAAAGCTATAACGATTGCGTGGTTCATATCAGTTATTGAGTCTTTTTATGTTTTAAAAAAAACATTATAGAATTATATTGAAAAATAAAAATAAAAGCAATTATTACAAATAAGAAAATCTGAACAAATATTTTTTTATTATAATGTAGAGCTAGGGAAAGCGAAGTCAAAAGTCGTTTAATCGTTAAATATTGCGCTAACCTGATAAATCTAAAAGTATCAATCTATACAAATATTAATATTCCTTTCTTAAGTGAAGATGAATAATTTAATGATCCATTCAACCATTGCATATGTAGAGTCCATTTACATATTTATAATTACTCATCCTTTGACAAACACTTGTTTTTTTTTGCCTTTATCTTTTTCTGGCGATTAGATATAACGATATTTTTATCTTATTATTCTAACATTACAAGAGGAAAGTTATTTTTTAATTTTCAAAGTTTTACTCTAAATAAGGTCAAATAATAATTTTGGTAAGGTTAAACCGGGTTGGTCCTCAAGGTTAAGCCAAGCTTTCACCTCTCTATTAGTTAACGAGCGATCGGAAGGTAGTTAGGTGTTGACATCATTGCATTTTTTAATTAACAAATGGTTATACCTGATCTTAATACTCTGTATTACACATGCCTTACAAATTAGTTAATTGATGACAAATAATTTAAAGGAAAGTCATATCTTGGTCAATGTTTGTTTATTAGCACTACTATCCATATTATAATAGTTAGTAGGTTTTATAATACTACTCTACAAAACAAATAACGAAAATATTGATCCCAATATTGAACATAAATTATTGTTATACAAATATGACCATCGTTCATGAACAGTATGTCAAAAACACTAATTGGATTCATGGAAAAAATATTAATAATAGAATATTAATCTACTCATATTAAAACGCTCGTCTCATTGCAACTCGTGATTGCGATAAGCGTAATCTTTAGACGATAGATAAAATACCCTAATAAAGATACTTTAGTGAATTTGTCACAATTACAATTTTAAGATTAATAATCCTACTTTTTCTGACTAAATCCACAGGAGTAGTACAATTATAGTGATATTTAGCTCAAACAAACGAAATATTAATATTTAGTAAATAAATGGGATCATATTATTATTATTTAACTTGAGATATTCCCTATTTACATTGTTTCCGTTTTTTTTGTCAATTTCCTACTTTCATTATAATAAATAATGCAATGCGCATTTAAAAGAAAGGATTAAATATTACACGCAAATCAAGTAAACTATAATTATTTTGGTTTAATTGTTATTGTAGTAGCTACCTAATTCGATTGTACTGTCGATTTATTTATGTAAACAATAAATAAACTATTATGTTACAGCATTTTACTATAATCACCGAGTCATTACATGAACTTATTCGTACGAACAGAAATATTTTTATGCAGAGTCGATAGTACATGTTTTTATCATTACTTATTTTATATTATTTATAAAAATAAGTAATAAATAGTAGGGCCAATTAAAAAAGTAATTGTAAATCAAAAAAATCTTTCGAATGATATGTTGTTTTCGAAACAAATTCATTAAAAATGACCAATAGATGGCGCTACCCTATTTTGAATGACCATTACAGGCATTCGCTTCCCCTTTCTGAGTTAAGTCTTATTAATGTTTACTTTTACGTCTATGCTTGTTTTATTAATTTATTTTTATTATAAATACACAGTTGAAATAGAATTTTATTTAAGTGTTTACCAACAACGATGATGATGAATAACCAAAATTTTTTCAGACCACCGAACGAAGATGTGTGTTGCAGATTTTTAAATAATGTAAGTTCCTTCTAATAAAATATTTCAATAAGTGAATATAAGTACAATGTAATAAGTATAACGGATACTTTTACCGCATTTTATTTTTATTCAAGAAATAATTGTAATGATGTGATGAGACAAAAATGTAGAGTCACCGAACGCGATATTTCAATCAAATCAATTAATTTTTATTCTTTGTGTATTTTTCTTGTGCAACAAGTAACCCGTTAACTCCTCCAAGTAAATATACCTACATAATATACACGGTCTTAAATCTCGATTCGACAGTCTTATTTACGCCGAAACCGTTGGATTTTTTTAGAGTCCTAAAGTTCATTTCTGTCAGCCTAGGCGCAGACCACCGACTTTTAGTTGGTCGATAGTTGGGTCGGGCTGTTAATCAGTATGGACAATTGGACATGTATGGAAGTGCGCACATTACACCGATTTGGTCTCGGCCGATTCTTCATACAAACTAGAAGCAGGTCCAGGCCAACTAAAAGTCGGTGGTCTGCGCCAAGGCTCATACACTTATTTAAGCAGATGCTATGCCTTATTTTCAAAGCTATTTTCCTTAGATATTCAACCTCAGTCATACACACTTATTTATGCAGATGTCATGTCCTATTTCCAACACTATCAACTCGTTCTCGATGTTGACCAAACAATGCGATTAGGAAGCAGGAATGGTCCGATGTTGACAGATCGTGTTTGCCCACCGGTGACCGATAGCAGAGGTCACTGTGAGATGGAGGGGTCTGGTGGACTTTTGGTTTATTGACTTTATCCGTTTAAATCAGGCATCAAGGTGATGAACAGAATTTTTATTTTAATGTTTATTTATTTGATCTGAAAAGAATGAATGATGACATAAAATTATTGCTATGTACTTAGGTTCTCCAGCAAGTAATATTTTTTCTATTGGTAGAGTCTTGAATCAATTGAATTTTTGAAGAAAGAATAAATATTTATTTGGTAATCCAGCAACTATACTGTTATTTTGTAAAATGGGCTTAGGTTGTTAATTTATCAAAAAGATGAAGTACCTATCTCAACAGCGAGACGAAAAACTTATTAAAAAAATGGGTTTATTAAATGGTGAAACATAACAACACCAAAAATAAACCTCGTTTCTAGATACAATTCCATACTAAGCCGATTAATAACTATTGTTAAAAACCTTAATCTTAAAAATCTGTCTTATCACCGATTTAAAGGCCGTTATTCCTATCATAGTCACTGTTATTTGTGTGACAAGTATTTAGGCGTGGCTCTTAGAAATTAAGTAGTTCCTGAAACCGATCAACCTATAGGACAGACTTCAGCATGTAGAGTTTATTAACAGTGCGGTATCTTACGTGCTCGTAATAAAGTCGATTTTGCAACAAAAGTGTAGAGCCTGATGAGTTGCGGTTTGTACATTACTCAACTGGGAGGAGACGATGTATCACCCTATCTGCAACACCTAAATAATCTGTTTAAAGGCTGTAGCTCATTTATCAACCCGGAAAGGGATCGTAACCGTATCAATTTAAGGCGGTCAGTATTCTTTGCATGAAACTGATGAGACTCCATACTCATCCATATTTCGAGTCTGAAATTCAACGCCGTACCGTAACGTAAACGCCTCGCCTCGCGATTGACAGCGCGCGAAAGGCGATAACAGCTCGCAAAAGGCGTATCGCCTTGTTGATCCCTTTCCGAGTTGATAAATGTGCTACGTCCTTTAAACGTTTTATCGTTCTCCGTGACATTAATCGATAGTTGATACGACGATAAGAGGATCTTTGGGGAAAAACATGCTTGTACCTATTCCTTAAGCCGGTACAAATATGTGTCTGAAACTCAGTGACGAGGCTCGAGTAGGATTATTGACTGTCTCTACATGATCTTTGTATATTATTGTCCAACTCCTTATATCTTCTGATTGGATTCGTTGCGGAATCTAAGACAGCTATCCCCGGGACTACGGAACATTCACTGGTTGGGTTTCATTGGAAGCTGTAGATCCTGGCTATACAGGAATTGCAGTGATGGGATAATTCCTGTAACTACACACTAATTCTTATTTTTTTTTCAAATGTAGCGTTTCTGGCCTCACCTTCATAGGACGAGCCAATATTATGTTCTAATATTTTCTTCTGGTAATGTGCCATCGTAGAGTTTTGATAACATAATTGGATGAACTAAATTAGTGTCAAAAATTCTAGATCTTCTAACAGAACATGTTAGTCTAGTATTAAATAAATTATGCAACGCGAAAGTATAAAATTAATTATGGTAAAGTCGATTGCACTTCAGGCTTCACAATTTTGTAGCAAAACCACACCTATCAAAGCTGTATTAGATGGCTTAGTTTACCTTGAGTCGTCATCTAGAAAACTATTTAAAGTTATCAGATATGGGCAGCGTTAGCCAAGTACGTATCCGTTTGTTATCTCGCCTTACTTAGATCAGTATTTAGTACGGTTAGAATCTACTTTGACAGCTCTATATTGGCTCTTATGTTCTTAAAGATAAGATGTCAATTCGTCAAATATTTGTAGCTTGATGGTGAGTGTAAAGTCTATACAAAGAGTTATTAATGAAAATGAATGAAAAATGTTTATTTCGTTAACAACAACAATTAATAGAATTTGAGGTGGACTCTTTCTTGTAAGTGCAATGGCACCTGTGCCAGAAAGAGTCGCTCTCCCTTAGCAAATTAATCATTAAGTAACATATGACGTATTTTTTTAATAATGTTGGTTTTATTGTCTATCTTCAGATTTGTTGCAAATTCGTATCTATTTTTCTTTTTATCGTGTCGGCAACCCAAATCTCTCCATCTCAAATCGCATCTATTAAAAACAACATAATGCTTAGCTAGATATAGTGTAGATTTGAACCTTTATTTAGGGTGCGTCTCTACAATAGCAAGTAGGTATCTTGATAGACATTTTAGACGATGTATTACTTACTAAGAAGCAGATTTCATTATTCTCGATA